GTTTTGAGCTCCGTGGTTCCCTAGTTAGGCCTTCTAACCTGAAATTGAGAACTAGTCATTTAAGAACTCTTAATGATTTCCAAAAGTTGTTAGGGGATGTTAATTGGACCCGCCCCTATCTCCGTCTTACTACAGGTGATTTGAAACCTCTGTTTGATATTTTAAGGGGGGACCCAGACCCCCGATCACCTAGACAGTTAACTCCTGAAGGCAAAAAGGCTTTAGACTTAATCACACAAGCCATTCAAGGCCAATTTGTGTCAGCCCTGGATTATTCCCTTCCATTCCTTTTTATTGTCTGTGCCACTTCACACACACCCACGGGAGTCTTTTGGCAGGTGGCCTCTCCCCTTCTCTGGGTTCATCTTCCCTCCTCCTCGTCCAAGGTTGTTGTTCCTTATTATAATCTAGTAGCAGAACTCATTATTCAAGCCCGAGATACCAGTGTTAAGATCTTTGGTCAGGAGCCTCACTCTATCATTCTACCTTATGCAAAGGCGGAGGTTGATTGGCTTTTTCGTACCTCTGACCTTTGGCCTATAGCGCTTTCCTCATTTCCCGGAAATATAGATAATCATTATCTTGCTCATAAAATGTTACATTTTATTTGCACACACCCCTTTGTCTTCCCTAAATTAACTTCTACGGAGCCTTTAGTAGGGGCCCTTACAGTTTTTACTGATGGCTCCTCATCTGGGACCGCTGCATATTCATGCAATGGCTTGGCTACCCCTCTGTCCACACCCTATCGCTCTGCCCAGTTAGCGGAATTGTTTGCTGTTTCTGTAGTCCTCCGAACTTTTCCTTCCACTCCTTTGAACATTTATACAGATAGTGCATATGTGGCCCACTCTGTCCCCTTATTAGAAACAGCCTCCCATCTAAAACCTAAGTCCTCTGCAATTCAGCTATTTCTCTCAGTACAGTCTGCCATCCGTGCTAGGGCTGCCCCTTTTTTTCTTGGCCATCTGCGGGCACATTCAGGTCTCCCTGGTCCCTTGTCAGAGGGTAATGACCTCGCTGACCACGCCACCTGTATGCCTATTTCAGCTTTTTATCTGTCCCCTGTGGATAGGGCCACTCATGCCCACTCCCTTCATCATCTTAATTCTACCACCCTTAGCCTTTTGTTCAAAATCACTCGTGAACAAGCTCGACAGATTGTTAAGCAATGTTCCTCATGTGTGACCCTTCTCCCCACCCCCAATTTAGGAGTGAACCCCCGTGGCTTAATTCCTAACGCCCTATGGCAAATGGATGTGACTCATGTTTCTGATTTTGGTCATTTAAAATATATGCATGTCTCCATCGATACTCACAGCAGCTTTCTCTCTGCCACATTGCAGAGCGGTGAGGCCTGCCGCCACGTGATAGCTCATGTCCTCTCTTGCCTCACTGTTATGGGCAAGCCCGAGTCTATTAAAACTGATAATGGCCCTGGTTATGCTGGCACAGCTTTTCGCTCCTTCTGTGCCACCCTTGGTATCTCTCATGTCACGGGCATTCCTTATAATCCTCAAGGGCAAGGTATTGTGGAACGGGCCCATCAAACCTTAAAAAACACTATTACCAAACTTCGAAGAGGGGCATTCTACCCGGTCAAAGGATCCCCTCAGAACCTGGTCAGCCATGCTCTTTTCATATTAAATTTTCTTCAGTTGGATGATACTGGCAAATCAGCGGCTGATAGGTTTTGGTACCCCGAATCCCAGCACAATTATGCCAAAGTACTGTGGAAAGATCCCTTTACTAACCAGTGGCAGGGTCCCGACCCTGTTCTTATTTGGGGTCGGGGTTCGGTCTGCATATATATTAAAGAAAAACAATCTGCTCGCTGGCTTCCTGAGAGGCTTGTAAAGCAAGTTGATTCCTGTGAAATGGCTTCTCTGCCTCCAGTTAACCTTCCTTCCAGGGAGGACAAACCTCTCTGAGAAATATTTCTTTTCTTTATCTACAGGAAATGCTTGGAAAACGATCACCCCTACGCTGGTACCTCCTGGCTGTCCTGAGGGTCTGCCTTGCTGGTTTTGATGCCCCGGCTGGCAACGATCTCCTCACCTCCCTTTTAGGATTCAACCGATCCCTTTGAATCAGTCACTCTTTGTAGCCCCCTGCTTTGAGGGTACCACTCCCAATGCCTCTGTCTCCATTGATGTGGGTTTTCTCCCTCATGTGAATTATTCCTCTGTCCTTTGTACTAGCAGTTTCTGTGTCCCCCTCTAGGCCATGTTTTTCTCTGCGGAGGGAATATGGCGTTCCCAGCGTTGCCCGTAAATTGGACTGGTTATTGCTCCATTGCCTCCGTTCTACCTGAGATGGATATTGTTCTGGGGAACGAGCCTGTTCCGGTTCCCAGCCTCGACTTTATGGCTGGAAGACATAAAAGGGCCGTATTTGCTATTCCCTTGCTTGTTGGCTTGGGCATTACGGGAGCCCTTGCGACAGGGTCTGGGGGCTTGGGAGTCTCCATACACTCCTATAATAAACTCTCTGCACAGCTCATTGATGATATCCAAACCTTATCAGGAACTATTAGTGATCTCCAGGACCAGATCGACTCTCTAGCCGAGGTGGTCTTGCAGAACAGAAGGGGATTGGATCTCTTGACAGCCGAACAAGGGGGTATATGCTTGGCCTTACAGGAGAAATGTTGCTTCTATGCTAATAAGTCCGGTGTAGTCCGGGACAAGATAAAGAAATTACAGGATGATCTGGTCAAGCGTCGGAGAGAACTGTTTGAAAATCCTTTTTTAAGTAATCTTCATGGCTTTCTTCCTTATATTTTACCTCTTGTAGGGCCTATGTTTGTGTTTTTATTAGCTCTAACCTTCGGTCCTTGGGTGTTCCGGAAGATCACCTCCTATGTCAAACAACAGCTGGACAAGGCCTTGTCCAAACCTATTCAGGTCCATTATTGTCGGCTGGATACTGGCAACCCTGATCTTTATACCGACATTGGCCGGTCCCAAGGATTAGTCTGAGCGCTGGTTTGGTTAGCCAATGACGGGTAAGATCCCCCTGAGGGGAGTCTGACCTAAGCCAGGGGCATTGCCTTGCATATTGCCCCCATGACGGGCAACAGTCTCCCACTCCTCGGGACAACCTAAGACAGGCACAAACCCCTCTGCTAAACCTTCCCTCTTAAGGAAAGAAAAGGGGGACATGTAAGGGACCACAGGCCCAGTATGACCTCTGGAAAATTACTAGGTTGCAGTTGTCAAGGCCTCCTTGTGATAAGAACAAATTACTACCTCTTCCTGGAATATCCCTATACCTTTGGTGGTCCTTGTGATAAGAACAAATTACGGACAAAGCTGTACCTCTTCCTGGAATACCCCGCCCGTATACCGGTGGTGGAACTCCCCCACTCCCTCTTACGGTGTGTATAACTACCCTGAGCTTGCCTTCAATAAACGAGACTCGATCAGAAAGCCTGTCTTGTCTCCATTTCCCGTGTCCCCTGCTCCCCTCCTTCTTTTACAGGTCCGGACGTCTGTTGATGTCCCGCGGGACGGGACAACTTTTTTAAAAAATACATATACATGGTCACTTTGAATTCACTGATGCAATAAGGGTTAACATTAAATTCAGCAATCATTTATTAGGTTAATACTACATGTAAAACACCATAGACAACACTGGGAGTATGAAAATAAAAACAGAATAATATCAGCCTTCAAGATTCTTACATTAAACAGAAAGTAGGCCAAAATTACACAGACAAGTAAATATAAGGAGATTCAGGAAGGATTAACAACTGGAGGAGGGGATGGAATCCTATACATAGTGCTACTTGAGTTAAGTCTTGAAGGAAGCTAGAGATTCTAAGAGGTAGCCACGGGGAGATAATAGATCACAGGGGAGCAGCCTGTGGAAAGGTGGGACATGGAATGCCAATCTCTAGAAACATCAAGTAAGCCAGTTTTGCTAGAACATCAAGAATGTGAAGAAGAAATAACTCTGGAAGCCAGATTGTGGAAGGCTTTAAATGACAGGTTGAAGGAGTTTGTAATTCATCCTTGAGGCAATAATAAGGAGTCACTGAAGAGTTCTGAGCAGGAGTGATCTGGCCTGACCCAGAACTTGAGAATATTTATTTGGCAGCTATGTAGAAAATGGATTGCAGGGAGGAAAGACTGAAAGCAGGTGGACCAGTCAAGAGGTCATTGCAGCCATCAAGGCAAGAGGTGATGAGTGCCTGAACTGGCAGCAGCCTGGTGACGGAAGACATGGAGATGGATGCGAGAGACATTGTGCAGGCAGAATGAACAAAACTTTGGATGGTTTTGATAACGGCAGGGAGAAGCCGAAAGAGAAGAGAAAGTAGAAAATGAGTCAATGTTTGAAACACGAATGACTTGAAGACTGGTGGTGCTCTCAGCAGAAATAGAAAAATACAGAGATGGGGTACAAGGGGAAAGGGTGAGGATGAGTTCTGTTCTAGACATTTGTTGTTCAGTTATGCCTAATTCTTCATGACCTCATTTGGGGTTTTCTTGGTAAAGGTGATGGAGTAGTCTGCTACCTCCTTCTCCACATAATTTTACACATGAAGAAATGGAGGCAATCAGGGTTAAGTAACTTGCCCAAGGTCACATAGCTAGTAAGTGTCTGAGGCTGGATTTGAACTCAGAAAAAGGATTCTTCCTGACTCCAGGCCAGGCACTCTATCCACTGAGCCATTTTCTAGTTGTTCATGGACATGCTCAGTATTAAATAGGAGGAAATCCTAACTCAAAGAAACTCAAGAAACTCAAGAAAAAAAAAAGATTTAAAAAAAAAAACGTTCTATTATATTCCCACAAAACCAGTTAACAAATTTAAGATAAAATTTCATTGCCTAATTACATTCTTATCCATAGATAACATATGATACAACAATAAATATTACTGTTTATTATTAATAAGAATAAACACTATTATTTATTACTCTATTTTTTACAATACACATAATAATAAAACATTACTAGGCACTAGGGAAAAGGTCCTCAGCCAAATACCTTGATTCAGGTGTGTAGCTTCTAGGATCTGAATCCCATTCACAGAGCATTGAGATCCATTCAGTGGTATTAAAGTCACTGTTCCATTGACATTTTCAAAGACACAGTGCTCACTTTCCAAATCCAGGCCGTGAAGAACTGTATTGTGAAACAAATCAACAAATAATGAGGAAGATGTTTTCTTTTATACCAGCTCTTCTCTTCTGTCCCTCCTGTATGGATTTACAATATTTTCTTTGATCTTAAAAATCCCTTTGAGCTCTACAAATGTGTTCTATAAAATGGAAGCCGGGAGTATGGTACAAAATGCAGGGGCCTGGGAAGCATGAGACCCAGATTCAAATCCTAACTTTGCTCCTAACTAGCTGTGTTACTCTGGGTCCATCCCTTCACCCCTCTGGGCTCCAGTTTCATAATCTGCACAAAATGGGAATGGATTATAGATTAATCTTTAAGGTGCCACCCAGATTTATGATTCTAGACTATATAAAACTTTAATTAAAGGACATTCAAAGTATTATGTTACCAGTACCTACGAATTTTGTAACACACTTCAGAATATAGAAGATAGCTGCAGATAATTGTATAAAATAAGTGTGGGAATTACATATTTAGGAAAATAATCTTTTTTAAAATGATTATTTTTAATTTTCTGAGCTAAAATAGTGCTATACTTGTTTTTTTTTCCTACCATACTTTTTGTCATTTTGATGATTTTTCATTGCCATATAAAGCGACAGGAAAGCCCGTGAATTAACTACTAAACTGGAGGCAAGAGGAGAGCGATGCAGCCAAAAGAGCAACCCCACTTTCTATATCTCAAAAGCAGGATCCCAGGGGTAGTTCGCAGTTATGCTTAGGATGTTCAAGGAATGATACGGCACTATTCCAAAAAACCCAAAGAAAAGTGGACTGAAGCCACATTCAAGGGTCACAGTCTGTAGCACTTGTGAAAGAACTTTCTTCTTGGGAATGATCCAGAAAAGATGGGAATGCTAAGGGTTCTGGAGAACTGGGGAAAATAAATGCCTGCTGATTAGCCTTATGATATAATAAATCTGGCAGACTCATCTATCAAAAATCAAAAAGGATGGCATCATTTTTGTGGAAGTTACAGACAATTTCTTAAGATCCTCCACTGAAGCCTTCCTTTCACATTTTATTGTGATGCGGATCTGAACCTAAGTTCTATAACTATACCAGTGGAACACCAGTTCAGAATCGATATTATATGCTAGAAAAGCTCTGCTGATAGGCTTAGCAATGGATAGTTTCTGTGGTCCAAGATTATCCAAGTCAAATCTAACAAGGTTCATCACTTGAGGGTAGATGACTAGGTCTGGTCTGTTGTTGTTTTGAAACTGTTCTATCACAAAGACCAAGACAAAATTGGTTGTGATCTGCACTAGTATAGTCAAAACACAGATTCTTTTTCTTTTTTTTTTCTTGGGAGGTGGGGTGGGGAGAAGAGGGATTACTGAAGTATGAAATAATTACTCTAGGCACTGGTGTTCACATCGTCTATATCTTTACTCTCAAGATGTCATGATTTAGCTTTGCCAGAACTGTTCGTAAAAATTGCAAATTATCAATAATATAAGGCAACTAGGTGGCACAGCAGATAGAGCACTGGGCCTGAAGTCAAGAAGACAAGAGTTCTAATCCCACTTCATTTACTTAGCTGTGTGACCTTAAGCAAGCCACTTAACCTCCATTTACCTGTTTCTTAAAATATAAAATGGTGATAATGATGGTACCTAACTCCCAGCATTGTTGTGTAAAACATTTAGCAGTGCCTGACACATAGTAAGTATGCTATGTAAATCCTAGCCATCATTATTGTTTTTATTGCTACAGCTGTAGTAATTGTTGTTCTCAGGGTAGTATCTTCCTGAGTACTTTCAAAAAAGTGGGTGGGTGTAAGTTTACTCATTTATTTTGAATTAGAACTGCTATGTTACAGCTTTAAGGCAGGTTTCAAAATAACAAAAATGTAAATATAGTTTAAAAAGCAGGCTATTTACTTATACCAACTCAAATTCAAATCAATCAACGAAAGCTCATTCATTGCTTACATGTTAAGTAATATAGCTAAAAGGAAAGAAAGATGTGCTATAGATTTCTTACCAATATCTTGTTCTGTTGAAGCATCTTCTCTGCCAACATAAGTTTGACCTTCCTGGGAAGAAAACACATATTCTTATCAGGAAAAAGAATACTAAGTTTTTTTGTTTGTTTGTTTTATTTTCTTTTGTTTTTTAATATCATCTTTTGTCTAAGGCAATGATTATTATCAACTTCGAGTGACATATATGGGCACAAATGTTACTGCCAGAAGGAACCCAGAAAGCTATATAAAAAATTACAGTCTTAACAAGTAAATGATATTTATAACAGGCAAAGGTGGTCTAAGTCTTAAGATATCCATGAAATTCAGGAACCAACTCAGATTTAAAAAAAAAAATGTCAGAGGAAGAAAGCAGAGGAAGACTTGTTCTGTCATTTTCAGTCATGTCTAACTCTTTGTGACCCCTTCTTGGGGTTTTCTTGGCAAAGATACTGAAGGATTTTACAGACGAGTAAACTGAGCAAACAGGGTTAAGTGACTTTGCCGGGTTCTCACAGACAGGAAGTATTTGAGGCCAGATTTGAACTGAGGAAGTTGAGTCTTCTGGACTCCAAGCCCTGCACTCTGTATCCTTTGGGAAAGACAACTTAGAATAAATACAATAGCCTATCATTAGCATATAAGAATAGTGTTGAGCTTAATGTTCCGAATGAAAGAAAAAACAAATAAACAAAATCAAGATAACTTCTTTTACATAGAAGAAAATTAATTAAAAGAAAACATAGGGTTTCTGCTGACCAATCAATCTACATTTGTCAAGCACCATCTATGTGCAAAGCAGATGGTGAATATGATAATAACTGGTAGCAGAGAGGAGGATGAGTTGATCACCTCTCATTTTGCTTGGTCTAACAAGGAGAAGGTAGTTTAGAATAGAATGAAGAGAATAAAAATGGCTGTTGAGGGTGTTGATACCCAAGATAAATAAAGAAATAAGAAAATCCTGCTCCCTAACAAGTTCAAGTTACACTGATGAACTATATACTTAGATACTGAAAAGAGCTGTCAGGTGAGATTATTGATCCCTGGCCCCCCATTACTGCAGCCAGCAATGATGATACTTGAAGAATCATAAAGAACTAGAAAGGGTACCATAGGATTGAGTAAGAATAGATGATGTAATGATTTAAAAAAAAAAAGGAAGAGAATAGAGTCTGAAAACTACAGCTTTACTTTGATTCATATTAATACTGTAGGATGTATTATTAAAGAGATAGTGAACTATAAAATAAAGCAATAATAATATCAAGTTAAGGTCATAACAGGCAAGTTTTATTTCGTATTTTGACATGCTTATAAACCTGGTTAATTAGTGGAATACTGTAAATATAGTTTGTCTGGATTTTAGCATAGCATTTTAGCAAAGTCTCCAAATGTAAATTTTTAAATGAATAGGTAGAGAGGTATAGGCTAGATCACATATAATTAGTGGATTCAAAATTGGTTGAATAGATGGACCAAAGGAAAAGTCATTCATGATTAGATGACAGCTTGGACAAAGTTCTTTGGGGACTGCCTCAGGGATCTATGGTTGTCCTTATGTTGTTTAATACTGTCATCAATAACTTTGGATTAAGCTAGAGATGGCATCCTTATGGAATTTTAAAATGTGATTCAATAAATATCATTAAGTATTAATCAAGATCAAGGCACTATGAGGTGATTTGGAAACAAAAACAAAAAACTAAAGATCTTACTCTCAAAAGACTTACTTTCTACTCAGATATAACAAATAGAGGAGTCAAGAAAGAGGAATTTCAAGAGGGAAGTGCTGGCAGGTGTGCTGAGCTCCGAAGGGAGACAGGGATTCTAAGAGGCCAAGACAAGAAAAGGGCCTGCTTACCAGGCACAGGGGCCATTTGAGTAAAGGCACAGGGTCAGGAAAGAGAATATTATGCAGGAGAAAAAGCTTTCTAGACCAGTTTAACTAAAACAAAGAATTAATGGTGGGAAATAATACAAAAGAAGCCCAGAAAGATAGGTGAGAATCAGTTTGTGGAGAGCTTTAAACATCTGGCTAAGAGCCAGAGTACTTTTCTGTTTGGATTTTAACCTTAGAAGTAAAAGGGAACCATTAAAGATAATTGAGAAAGGGATGACAATGCCATGTTTGTTTGACGAATAGAAATCTGGCAGCTAGATGAAGGATAAATTGTAGAGGCAATTCTAACCATCCAGGCAAAAGGCATTCAAGCCAGAAATGAGGGCGAGAGGTTCTAGGAGCAGAGAGGAGGAGATGGATGCAAAAGAGGCTGTGGAGTTACAACGGACAAAACCTGGCAACTTACTGAAAGATGGAACCAAGCTGGGAGGGATAATTACCAACCTGAATGACACTCAGAACTCAAAGATATCCTGATGGCCAATATCCAGTATTCTTGGGTGGAATCTAATCAGAGGGAATTTAATAGAATTCCTGGGAATCTTAGAGATGAAAAGTTTTCCACTGGAGTTCAATGGGGAAGGCCTGGCCAGGCAGAAGTGCTGCTGAAAAGATCTGAAGACTGTACACTACAAGCTTAATGAGTCCCCAGTGACATGGCCAGCAGAAAGCTACGGTGATCTGAGGCTACATTAAGAGGCATCGAATCCAGAAAGAAGGCAAACAGGGTCTCATCGTACTTGTACAAAATCAGCTGTGGACACCCCATTTTTAGAAAGCAATTGATGAGCTGGAAGATAAGAGAGAAGGGCAAACAGGATGGTGAAGGGCCTTGAGTTCTTACCATATGAAGGCTGGTTGGAGAAACCATGAATATTCAGCGTAAGAGAAGCCTTAGAAGGGAATATCAGAGATGTCTGCAAGTATTTGAGGGTTGGCCCTAAAGGTCAAGAGTAGAAGTAAAGATTGTATGTCACAGCTACCTGAGGCCTTTACTTCTGGCCCCCATGGCAGCAGAGGGATTGCTCTGAAGGGGCCACGTGTACAGGCAAAATCTCAGCCTTCAGGTGCCTGGTGTGCAATCAAGCAATCACCACCAAGCACGTATTAAGGGCTTACTATATGAGAGTTATTGTGTCAAGTGCAGGGGAAATTAAGGACAAGAAAAAGCATTTCTTGCCCTTAAGGAGCTTATGTCCTAATTGGGAGAAAACACACACACACAGACACACACACACACACACACACTTCTATTTATACATATGCATATAAAATACATAAAAAAATAAAGGCACCACCATACTTTCAAGTCACTCGGGTCTGCAACACTGGAGTCATCCCCAACTCTCCCCTCTTTTTCATCACCTAGACACAATATCTACTCAGTTGCTAGGTCTTCACAATTCTACCTCCACATCTTGCCTATCTGCCCCTTCTTTCTATTCACACAGCCTCTACCTGAGTTTGGACCTATCTCTTATCTTGACTAGAACAATTGTCTCCTAATTGGTTTCCTTCCCTGCCAAAATGACATTATTAAATCACAAATTACGGGAAATACATCTGGAAGGGACCTGGTGGGGAGGAGAAATACAAATCTAGTCCATTTGGCCCATTTTACAGATAAAGAAACTGAGGTCAAACATGGCTAAGTGACTTATCCAAGAGTACAGGGATAGTGAGTATTCAAAGTGGCATTTGGACCCAAGTCTTCTGACTCCAGTTTCAAAGTTCTTTCCACTTTACCATGTTGACTGCCAGTATCTGGCTATGTCATTCCATTACTCAAAAATCATCACTGTTCCCCAGTGCCTCTAAAGTAAAATACAAACTCCTCACCTGGCATTTAAAGCCCTCAACAACCTGGCTTCCCCTCGTTTCCTAGTTTCATTCTGTATCATTCCCTTCCTGCTTTCTCCGCTCTAGTCACATTGGTTTCTCTGCTTTTCTCCCCTCCTGCTTCATGGCCTCTGCACTAAATGGTCTCTCCCCCATCCCCATGTCTCCAATGCATTTCCTCCTCACCTCTACCTCTTAGAATCCCAAGCTTCCTTCAAAGCAAAGCAAAGACCAGGCGACACCTTTTACATGAGGCATATATAATCCTGGTCCCCCCATTATTAGGGTTTCTCCTCTCTCTTTGAATATATTTTATACTTACTTACATGTTATATTCCCCCAGCAGAATGGGGGAAGGTTTCATTCTTGCATATCTAGCACCTAATAAAATATTTTATGAATAGTCAGTTCTTAATGTTGACTTGAGTTTGCATTAGAAATTACAAATCAAATTTAGGCTTGAAGTAAGTCAAAGCTTCCTAGCAACTAGCGATATACAGAATTGGAATGAGTTGCTTCAAGAGGTGAAAGGTAGTCTCACCTAAGGTCTTCAAGCAAAGGTTGGCTGACAGTTTCTCAAATATATTGTAGATGGAAGTTTTGTACTAAATGGATACTAAGGTCTCTTCCAATTCTGAAACTCATATATTCAGAGCTTATTGAAGTATAGTTTGCAGGCAATCTCTGTATATCATCAGTGTTTATAACACGGTAGTATTCATGATTTGGGGTCTGGCCAAAGCTATTTATTTACTTCAATATTTTAATGGATCCATGAACTCATCAATATGGGGACTTCACATCTCATGTACATCTTCTCATCCTATATGATTTGTGTGCATGTTATTTTATGGATATTTCACAGAAAATCCAACCAATTTAATAGAGACCTTCTTCTAGACCTTTTCACATTTCGTGGGCACTAGTGTGCACAATGAGTAGGGGTCAAAACTGGTTAAGCACTGGAGCAGAGAAGACCTGAGATAAAAGCTAGTCCAGGCATATAAGGAAGAAGGCTGCAGAATTTATTTACATAGGTAGTTACATGTAAAAATGTGTTATTTTACCATGTCACGCTAAGGGCATAAGGAGAGATCAGACAGGGAGAGAAATGGGGTCATTTATCTCAGAAACTGACACAGGAGATAAACAAGATAGCTGGAAAGGACAAATAGCTACTAGAGAGAGCACAAGAATGCAATTTCATTTAATCCAAAATGAACTAAGAACGAACCAAGAATAACTCAAAGTCACGATTTATAGGTTCAGTAAGTAGGACAGTTGCCATTGTAACAAAGCTTTGACTCAGACTGGGCATGTGCAAGACTAT